AGTCCTTTTAATGCTGAAACAAATTACAATACTCAATTTCACAATAAGGCTGGCCTATTTTAATCTAGATTTTTATGTTAATTATGCCTGCCTCTTTGTATGAATACAAGGATTTGCAATTTTATCAATGTAGGTAACATGAATTTCTTCCTCCAGTGAGGGCCCAAATATATATATGACTTAGTAGACAATTTCTAGGGAGATTGGTGAGGCACCTACCTACCCAGAGTAGTGACCTATCCAAAGTCATTGGCAGAATCTGAGCTGAGTCCCTAAGTTCCTCCTGTCTCTAAGTTAAACACTCTGTGCACTGTATTCTCCTACTTCTATACTAGTCTACATGTTACTTTCAGATCACAAGTGCATTCTTAAATGGTTTACAGACATATGTAAGATAAGGGGTCTTAGAGTTACCTTTATTATTACTGCCAACAACATCTCTATAAAAACCTAGCCAGACAAATGATCTTAAGACTACATCTTGTATAAACCATTTTCCATTTTTCTTAACTTATGAGATTTATAATGCTATAATTAGAAATGTAATTTTTCAAGGATCCTTAGGCATTCCATCCTTAAGAGTATCTTTCCATTTCTCTCCATTGTACCAGAGAAAAAGCACAACTCCTCACATTAGGTACGTGAGGTGATGTTTATGGATTTTCTCACCAGTTTAAGTAGTAAATCCTTCTAGATGAGTAACCTACTTACATCAACTACCCAATCAATTGGTTTTTTTTTGACTGATTGATTCATAATAAAATACTCAGTGAAGGTTCAGTTTGACATTCTGTCCAATCCCCAGTAAACAAACTTATTATTTCACCAAATTGATTGAGAACAAAATAGCTTGTAATATTAACAAAACAAATCTAAGCAGGGTGTGACCTCAGCTGATGAATTCAGTGTAGAAAAATTTTAATTTTTAATTTTAGATACTTTGTAGTGTAGATATATGTGAAAAATGATGTACCCTATATGTACTCATTTTTCAGTTTAATATTTAAATATGTAGATACAGCCTTTGTATAGATACAAAATTAAATTTCCTCTTCAAGACTCTAGAATCTAGAGTAATAACTGAGCAAATAGTCACAAGGTGCCTCTCAATTATTATAAGGTATATTTATGAATTAAGGCAGTTAGAGAAATGACTTTATATCTGAGCATCCAGGGTAGGAATCAGATTTATTTTTTAAGTACATGGATGAATGTTGTTTCTTGCAGGGGACAAACATTAATCAAGAACTTAAATCAAGAATCCACATCTGAATGGATACCAGGCCAAGGAATAAGATGCTGATGCAATACAAGCCATGTAATTACTCTCTTAATTAGATGAACAGATTTAGAAGTTTCCCTTATCTTCAATCTTTGAAAATTGATTGTACTGTTATTAAAGAGGGACAGATTGATTTATGTTGTCCTTATGGAAAGCAGTTAAACACTCAATTAAGGAGACAGGAGTCCAGATCCTTACTATGCTCAAGTTTAGTCCTTAGCATTGGTTAAGATTTGCTTTGAAGCTACCACAGCATTAAAAAATAATGAGGTTGTTCATTTTTTTTGTCAATATAATTTCAGTCACTGAACCATAGGGGGGAAAGGATTCTATTCATTGATTTATAGAATGAAGATTTTGAGATACTTAAGTAAAAGATAGAAAAAATACAATTTAAGTGCTCTGTTTATATATACATTAGTCAAGAAAACAGATTTAAATAAAAAGCAATTGTTATTTTATTAAAGGCCGATCAAGAGAGTTTTACACTAAGATTTTTCACGCCTGCAACTTCAGTGGCCCATAAACCAGTGGAAATCATGTCCATGAAATCCAATGTTAATCATATCACAGAATTTGTAGCTATTTTATTATGATAAATCAAGTTTTCATTTCATGATTTTACTTTAATGATTATAACACACTTTAACAAATTATTGTTCTTGTATTTTTTAAAAAAACTAAAATCAATGAATCAATTCAGCTTCAATTCTCATATTAAAAGTGAAATAATTTATGAAACTACAAGGTTTGAAGCTCTGTAATAGAATAAATGTAAGTGACATTCAAGAGTTTGGAATTTTTTTTCCCCTGAGCTATTATAGTGCTTGAAAGTATTTTTCATTTATTTCACATGAAATCTTTGAAATCTACACATGACTTTGGACTATACAAAAATATTCTATAATTATGATTTCATATAAAATGGTTATGTAAAGTGTTTTCAGTAATATCCTTCTCTGGAGGAAGTTCCCTTAACCATTTTTTCCCTAATTAAGCTTTGAATAATCTTTAAATATGTTGGTTTTAGTACATATAGGTTATGTGCAGTATGACTTCCATGTTGTTTGATACAGTGAATCATAGCTCTATTGTGATAATACTCTATTAAATTTGTTTTATTTCCACTTGGAAAAAAAAAAGACAGATTATCATCTTAATCTGATATGCCAAAGTTTTCTTTGCAGTTAATTTATGAAACTTAAAGCAGCAGGCAAAAAAAAAAATCGTGAAGGTCCAAATACAAGATTAGTTAGACCTGGAAAGGAGTTTAGGGATCACCTTTTGCAATTCCCTTCCTAGTGCAAGAATCCAAGTGTCCTGTCTTCAACTAGATCTCTAATCAATACAGTAAATATCTTTTTGCAACATTTTTTAAGATTTTCAAAACATTATTTATTTTTAGTTTTCAACATTCATTTCCATAAGATTTTGAGTTTCAAATTTTCTCCCCATCTGTTCCCTCTCTCATCCCAACACAGTGTGAAATTTTATCTAAGCTCTACATATATATTCATATTGAACCTATTTTCACATTAGTCATCTTGTAAAGAAGAATTAGAACCAATGGGAGAAACCTATGTGCAATATTTTGATATGATAAAATAATATAATTGATGGAATCAGTAAATCATATAACATAGCCTGTTAAATGTTCTTAAATCTAAAACTAAAGATTTCACTTTACATACAGCTTTATGAATTTCATGTAGAATAGTTTGTTTCTTAATATTTAACATTTGACAAAGACAAAAATTCTTTCCAAATATTACATTGTAGGAGGGGAAAACAAGGTTCAAATATATACTAAGTTGTTGTAGGAAATCTCCCTTGCCAGAAACCTTTGAACATATTTAAAATCAATATATACTCCCCTTTTATTAAAAAGGAGACAAAAAACATGGACTGGAAAAGTGTATATCATTACTAACTTCTATTTTCAAATGGGGTGGGGGTATTACATACAAATATTCATCACTGGAGAATCTTTGAGAATGAATGGGGAGGAAGTTCTTAGTAATGTATTTGAGAGCATAACATTAAATTTGACACTATGTTTAAATAGATGATAAAATTAACACATTTAAATATATGTTAAACTGCATTTCAATTGATACTGACTTGCAGAACTAATGTGGGATTAGATGTTAATCAAATTTCCCTTCTTCAAAAATAACGAGATTGAGGGCAGCTAGGTGGTGCAGTGGATAGAGCACCAGCCCTGGAGTCAGGAGGACCTCAGTTCAAATCCAGTCTCAGAGCCGAGACTTGACACTTACTAGCTGTGTGACCCTGGGCAAGTCACTTAATCCCATTGCCTAGTCCCCCCCAATGAGATTACCTGTAGAATAATGATTTCCTCAAGATTAAAAAAAAATTAAACTTGTTGTGGGGAAGAGTGGGAGAAGAAACCTTAAAAGAAAACTACCCAACTTTCTCCCATGTAAAAATAGAGTATAGAAATATTAATTACATAGACCAACATAGTATCTTTTTTCCCCACACACACCTATCCCCCAAATAAGTAAAGACCTGGAAATACCACCTTTGGGACAAACTTCAATTGACTGTCATTTTTAACTTGGTTATTTTTTAAGAATACTTTAGCTCTTTGAGTTACCTCTAACATACCTTTTCCTCCCTTATCAAATAAAATAATGAAAGCATTCTTTTAAATGCTAACAGATAACTGACAACTTTTATACAACTATTTGTAAGTAACATAAGTTATAGCAACCCCATGATTTTGCATTGTTCTTCAAAATATATAATTAGATATCCCCTAATAAAGCTCTTTCTTAGATTTCACTTCATTTAGGTTTCAAAATAAAGGAAAAGACCAAAATTCACAACTCTCAGTTCTCTTGACTATCACTTTCCAATCTCTATTCAACATCAAAACTTAGTTGTCACTTTGAAATAACCAGCTACCATACTAAATCAGAAAAAAAAGATACATTAAGAAAAACCTCCACTTTGTGAACTACAGCAAAGGAGAGATACCTTATTTTCCTCACCCAAAAAAGTCACCTATATAGAAGTCAGAAGTTATCCAGATTCCTGTTTATATCTTCTAATGAACCTTTAACATTATTTAGCAAAGAACTTTTACATAGCTTTTAAAAAGGCAAGCCCTGGGTGAATGGATAAGGATGTTTTTTTTTTTAAACCGGAAGGGGAAAATCTCATGTTTTCACACCACACACACACACACACACACACACACACACACACACACACACACACACAAATTTCCTCCCTAAAGTAAGTAAGCTAGTCCAGAATTCTCGTTCCTGGGGAAGAAGGAAAAAAAAAAGAGCTGGCCAGAATCAGAAGTCTTCATTAAGTCTAAGTGACACCCGCTGTGCTCAGAGCAGATATATTGTTCTGTGGAGCTTAAGGAGAGCAGTCCAGAACACAGAGGTAGTGCACATCCTGCTGACCCTCAAGTATTAATGTCCAAGGGCATTTGATAGTAAGGAAGGAAGCAAGTGCTGCTTCCCAAGGGATTTCAAGATAGCAACCTAGGCTGAGGAGGCGTTGGCCCGCAGTGCACTCTGGTGGCAATCGAGATCCACTGAACCCCCTGCGAGTAAGAGCCAAGGAGCTGATACTAGGACAAAGTTGTAGTCAGAAGCGAAATCCACTCACTGTTGTGACCAACAGCAGCCTGCCTCCTTCCCATCCCCTCCCTCCTCTCTGCTCCATCTTTTCTTACCTTGGTTGTTGGAGACCTGACTGCAGTAGGCTGGCCAAGCTGTCAACAGAGGGAAGAACAGGCCAAATTGCAAAAGAAAACGCCGAGCTTCACAGCCCCCCATAATTCACCACAGTCCCCTTCCACACTCTCTGTAGAGATAGGGCAGCCCAGTACTGCGTTCTGTGTCCTTGTTGTCTTCCTCTTCCTCCTGCCCCCTTCCTTTTCCACTCAGTCCGCAGAGGCTAACGAGGGGCGCTTGCCGCGCGAGGCCCAAGGGGCAGGGCACGAGGATCCAGGCTGTCTAAGTGCAAGTGAAGCTGCTGCTGCTGCTGCTGCTGCTGCTGCTGCTGCTGCTGCTGCTGCTGCTGCTGCTGCTGCTGCTGCTGCTCGAGGATACTGCCTCCGCCGCCCGAGAGATGCTGGTGGCAGAAGGGCGGTATTTCATCCACCCGTCTGTCCCACTCACGGGAGGAATATTCCCCCGGCTCAGGAGAGAGCGCGCGCGCGCAGGAGCGAGCTCAGGGCTGTGGTTTGGGGGAAGGGGAGAGAAGACGGGGTAGGGTGGAGTGAGGAGAAAGAAGGGGGTGGGGAAAGAGATAGTGTTTTTCACACTTGGAGGAGGGAGGTCCAGAGAGCAGGCTCTTCTGGTCGAAGCGCTCCTCTTCACATAGAACTGGACACTTGTACAGTCCAAGGAGTGGCTCGAAGGCTGCAGGAAGTTTCCTCCAGCTGGCCTGGGAAAACAGAAAGGGGAAGAAGGACGAGAGGCAAGACTGTGTGTCAGGGGCGCAGCAGAAAGAGACAATGTTGTTGCTCCCTCAACCCCTCGATTTCACCACCAACACTCCAAATGGGGATCAGCGGCTTCTGCATCAGACCCTAAGCGGAGCTGTGGCTGTTTTATGATGATGACTGAGAATCCGCTGAGTCCACGAAGCACTTTTCCCCATTCCGCAGCAACACCGCCGATTATTATTAGTGTGTTTTGCTATTCGATCATTCATTAGAGGTGGGAGTGTGGGAGAGTGGCATACATTTTTTTTTCTTTCTTTTATTTTAATTTCCCATATATTCGGCTTGTAGAGGGTAGCGAGAGCAGCAAGCAGAGCAGCTTCCTCCAATTTCATACTAATCTCTCTAGCGGCGACTGCTAAAACCCCAGCTCCCCAGACGAGTAAAACTTGTAAGGAAAATAGCAAGCTTCTCTCCTCTTTTCTTTTCTCCCAATGTGCTCCTTACATGCAGCAAAAGTCCTGAGGAAAGTCAAGGAAACGATTAAAAATAATAATAATAAAAATCGGGGGCTGGATGTGAAAATGAAATCAGGCGAACCTGCTGTTTGTGGGCTGACTATTGTTGCTCAAGTAGATCTCCGCTTCAGATGAGCTGTGGTTAGTTTAATATCATCACTGTCATGATGATTTGTCATTATGATTACAACAGCTAAGAGTGCTGATAATGTCCGGGGCAGCCAGACGGCAGGTGTACTGGATTTTCTCGGAAAGGAGTGCAAACCAGGCAGAACATTTTAATATAAACAAGATCATCCAGAGACCGTGGATTGTCTCCTCCCACCCACTTCTCCCTCTCCGACACAAACACAGGCAAGCTCATCTCAGTTCCCTACTCCCCTCTCAAGTCAGGAAGCAAACTGCAGAAATGACGATCAATAATTAAATCTGGTGGGAGAGAAATGTAAAATGTAGTGACAACGGCTAAGGGAGTCGAATCGGGCACCGACGTCCTACCGCCTCTTTCAGGATTCTCTTGGGAAAAGGGGCAACATTGGGGTGTATAGAAAACAGAGAAAAGCCTAACCGCGAAAAGTAAATGCCGAGCTAAAGAAAGAAAGGGAAAAGAACCTTCCTTCCCCCAGTTTGGCAGTATGCAGGTCAAAATGCTGCCATTTCAGCGCTAGAGGAGGGTAGTTGACAAGACACAATTTCCTTCATTCTCCTTGTAAAGTGGATGTGGGGCTGATCACAAATTATCTAAAGGGAGGAGAGATGTGCTTAGGGTAAAACTTAGCTGCCTTGTTAAGTAAGTACTATTAGTGTGTGAATTTATTGCATAGCCTAATTCTTTGGAAGGGGATCTGAAATAGACATGGGTTAGATTGGTGGGGAAAACCTAGTCACCAGTCTCAAAATAGTTGAAAGGAAATGCTAGGCAGCTGAAAAGTGTAAAATACTTAAATAAGCAAGGGACAAAGAATTGTAAGGGGTAGGAAGAATATACGGGAAACGGGGGCTAGGCATATAAGATAGAAAATAGAGTGATATGACCATTCAAGGTTTAGTGTGGTAACAGGCATTCTATTAAGGGGTAATAAATTCAGAAGAAATAATGGAACATGACTTGAAGCTTACAAAATTTTAGAAAGGCAATCTTTCTCTATTGTATTAAAACATTAATAAGGAAGCTCCAGGAAATGTGTGTTGTGTGTGTGTGTGTGTGTGTGTGTGTGTGTGTGTGTGTGTAGAGAGAGAGAGATGCCTATATCTGTTTGTATGTGAGTATGTTATGTATGCAACTATCCGACTCTATCTAATCTATCTGTATATAGCCTATCACCATAGTTGAGGATTCAAATAGATGTCTGACTTACTTGTCATTTTAGTAAATCATACTAGGGATAGAGGAATCCTTAATCTCTAAAATTATATTCTTAGAAGAGAAATATCAAATTTAAGGCTTTTTAAGAGAGTGAATAATAATTAAGGTTGGCAGCTATACCTTCCATGTCATGTAATTGAATGTCTCCCTTGGAAGGTTCCTAAACTAGAATGTATGCCAATCATATATAGTGATATAGTCACGAATAAAGTTTTTATGTTGGTACTTCAAGTAGGAGAATCTCAGATATCCCTGTGTATTTTGAAATTCATTTGACACTAGTATTAATTAAAGAATTAGGCAATCACTGTACTGATTTTAAAAATGACTACAGAAAGAAATATAAATGCATAATAAAAATATGATATAATATAAATTATATTGACTTTCAAAATTAACCACTAAAATATTGTTTAATGTTTATAAACTGCAGAATTCAAATAATTGCAATTATGTGTATGGATATGTGTATACATACCTTTCAAAGAACATCCTATACCTGTGACTTTTTTGAAAGTAATACAAGAAAATGTAAGTGACATTCAAGAGTTTGGAATTTTTTTTCCCCTGAGCTGTTATAACGCTTGAAAGTAGTTTTCATTTATTTCACATGAAGCCTTTGAAATCGCCACTTGACTTCAGGCTATAGAAAAATATTCTATAAGTATGATTTAATATAAAATGGATAGGTACAGTATTTCAAATAATATCCTTCTCTGGAGGAAGGTCCCTCAACCATTTTTTCCCCTAATTAAGCTTTGAATAATCTTTAAATATGTTGGTTTTAGGACATATAGGTTATATGCAGTGTGACTTGCATGTTGGTTTCTTTTAAATTTTATTAATTTATTGATTTATCAGCAATCACTTCCATATGCTTTTGAGTTGAAAATTTTTCACCCCCTTCCCCCCCCACACAACATTCCCAAGACAGCACACAATCTGATATAGGCTTTACATTTACATTCCTATTAAACATATTTTCACATTAGTGAAGTTGTAAGTAAAAATTAAAACCAACAGAAGAAACCATCAGAAAGATGAAACAAAACTCAACAGAAGGTAAAAATAAGTGATAGTGATTCGACTTCCATAGTTCTTTCTTTGGATGTGGACAGCATTTTCCATCCCGAGGCCTCTGGAGATGTCTTAGATCCTTATAATGCTGAGAAGGGTTCAGTTTAACAATATTAGTCATTGCATAACGTGGCTGTTATTGTGTACAAAGTCCTATTGATTCCGCTCACTTCACTCAGCATCACACCATATAGGTCTTTCCAGGTTTTTCTGAAGTCAGCCTGTTCATCATTTCTTATAGCACAATAGTATTCCATTACATTCATATACCACAACTTGCTCAGCCATTCCCCAATTGATGGGCATCCTCTCAATTTCCAATTCTTTGCCACCACAAAAAGAGCTGCTATGAATATTTTTGTACATGTGGGTCCTTTTCCCATTTGTTTGATCTCTTTGGGATATAGCCCTAGAAGTGCTATTGCTGGATCAAAGGGTATGCACATTTTTGTAGCCCTTTGGGCATAGTTCCAAATTGTTCTCCAAAATGGTTGGATCATTTCACAACTCCACCAACAATGTATTAGTTTCCAATTTTCCCACATCTCTCCAACATTTATCATTTTCCTGTTTTGTCATGTTGGCCAATCTGATAGGTGTGATGTGGTACCTCAGAGTTGTTTTGATTTGCATTTCTCTAATCAATAACGATTTAGAGCATTTTTTCATATGACTATAGATGCCTTTAATTTCTTCATCTGAGAACTGTCTGTTCATATCCTTTGACCATTTATCAATTGGGGAATGGCTTGTGTTCTTATAAATTTGTCTTAATTCTCTATATATTTTAGAAATGAGGCCTTTATCAGAAGACTGGTTGTAAAAATTCTTTCCCAATTTTCTACCTTCCTTCTAATCTTAGTTGCATTGGCTTTGTTTGTGCAAAAACTTTTCAATTTAATGTAATCAAAATTATCCATTTTGCTTTTCATAATGTTCTCTATCTCCTGTTTGGTCATGAATTCTTCTGTTCTCCATAGATCTGATAGGTAAACTATTCCTTGTTCTCCCAGTTTACTTATGGTATCAGCCTTTATATCTAAGTCTGAACCCATTTTGACTTTATTTTGGTATATGGTGTGAGATTTGGGTCTATGCCTAGTTTCTGCCATACTCTTTTCCAGTTTTCCCAGCATTTTTTTCAAAGAGTGGGTTCTTATCCCAGAAGCTGGGGTCTTTGGGTTTATCAAATAATAGATTACTATAGTCATTGACTACTGTGTCTTGCATATTTAACCTATTCCACTGATCCACCTCCCTATTTCTTAGCCAGTACCAAGCAGTTTTGATGATTGCTGCTTTATAATACAATTTAAGATCTGGAATTGCTAGGCCACCTTCCCCTGCATTTCTTTTCATTAGTTCCTTTGATATTCTGGACCTTTTGTTTTTCCAAATGAATCTTTTATTATTTTTTCTAACTCTATAAAATAATTTTTGGTAGTTTGATTGGTATGGCACTGAATAAGTAAATTAGCTTAGGTAGGATTGTCATTTTTATTATATTAGCTCGGCCTACCCATGAGCAACTGATGTTTTTCCAATTATTTAGATCTGATTTTATTTGTGTGAAAAGTGTTTTGTAATTGTGTTCATAGAGTTCCTGGGTTTGTTTCAGGAGGTAGACTCCTAAATATTTTATAATGTCTACAGTAAGTTTAAATGGGATTTCTCTTTCTATCTCTTGCTGTTGGGCTTTGTTGGTAATATATAGAAATGCTGATGATTTATGGGTTTATTTTATAGCCTGCAACTTTGCTAAAGTTGTTTATTATTTCAAGTAGTTTT